GCAGCTTGAGCTGTGGCTTGAGCTTAGATTTGAGTCATAGCTTGGTTTAAGCCGTGGCTCTTAATTGTTATGTGGTTAATATAGCATTTCCAGCTATTCAACTACGGCTTGAGCCTATACTTGTTGGCAAAACCAGAACAAATCCCAAATCCCCAACAATACAATTACCTTTTACAAAAAACCAAACCAAAAAAAATATTATACTTAGCTATAAGAATATATATCATTTGCTTAAATAAAGATTATTAATATAGTTTTTGAGATATTAGTTTGGCCAGAGTTTGGGATTTGGGTATGGACAAACCTAAACTATAATAGTTTGGGATTTGGACAACAAGCATATTTGAGCCAGGTTATGGCTCAAACCACGGCTCCAATGGCGTAGGAGCCAAGCAAAATCATCCAAGCCGTTAACAGCCCTACTAATAACAAGTAATGTGACTCTAGAATATTAAAAAACCTAGCTTGTTTTTTCTTTAAGCAGTGTTATTCATTATCTGTTTTAGGACAAATATTATCGACATTGGCATGGCAGTGACAACATTGGCTGTACGATAATAAATGTCGGGGATGATGCTGAGAATTTTAAAAATTTTTGGGCTATTTTTTTTAGCTTTTTTTTAGAATTAGGTTAGAATTTAGGGTTAGAGTTTATAATAAAAGAGTACTGTATATGTGGACTTTTAATAGAGTTTATATTAAAAAATTGAGACCCCTAAATCCATTCTCAGCATCATTTTATAGAAACGACTTATCAGACACATGATCCATTAAATAGAATTTATATCTGTTATAGAATTTATTATAATTCATCAGGAATCTGATCACTGTTTCTGAAAAGCGGAGCCGGAAAAAACCGAAATTGCAGGTTCTAGCTTTGCAGCACTCAAATAATAAACTTGGAAAGTTCAAAATGTGATTTTCCTCGGTTTCACTGATTAGTCCAAATATCAAACACTGATCTTATTGTGCTAAATTATTTGAACATCAATCTATCGGATAATTAATTAAAATTAAAATTTATATACAATTCAAATTTTTTAAGTATAACGGTAAAGCCTTGTGTAATTTAATTTTAACTAATTCAACTTTTTTGGCAAATCTCTATCTTCAATAAACCGTTAAAGAATATCAGCTAATGCAACGATTATATTTCTATTTTTATGTATAATAATCATGTATTAATAAAGTAGACAAATATTTGGTCAAAAAAACAAACATGGTTAGATCAAATGGATTTTTTTTATTATACATTTATTCTCGCGACTAACTTCGATTTTTTAAGAAAAAATATAAGTCGTTTTCGTGAAACGTTCTTTAAAAAAACATTCAAATGCAGTTGTATAAATCATTTGCCTTGTACATCGTTTTACTACACTTTCCAAAAAAAAAAAAAAAAGGCATTTACGTGTTTAAATTTACAAACTTTACTGTCTTTCATTTATTTTTTTTATTAACGTATTTATCATAAAAATCTAATTCCGAAATAGATTTTTCTTTAATACTGACCGACCCGTCTTTTAGAAGGTGACAAGTAAACAAACTTGCCTTCGCTTTGTTATCTAATATACGAAACTGAGAGTCAACTAAGTGTTACTCAAATGTTGAACTATTAGAATTTTATCCTCATATTAATTTGTTCTAATAAGCAATAGGCAATCACTACCACCATTGACTGGTCTACACATTCATTTAATTACGCTTTACTTCTAAAGACATTATTCCTTACAGTCAACTATATTTTTTAATCTATTTATTTGCCTTTAAACCCTCTTTATAATCAAACTTAAATAAAATGGTAGACAATATCGATAATAGAGATTATGACAATCTTGGTCCCGATATAGTGGTGTCGTCTCCCTTACGGCAGAGTGTATATATTAACAACATACAATCCGCGATGGCATTAAAAAAACAATTACAAGAACAACTAAATGAAAACGCAAATAAGATTCAAATGACTGCAGAACTGGGCGCCGCACTTGTAAAGCAACAAACCGAATTGGAAAGTCAAATACAAGATCTGGATAAAACTCACGGAGACGAAGTTCCTCAAGAATTAAAAAATAAATTAATAGATCTTGAAAAAACTGCAAGAACTTTAGACGCAAATGCTGCAAAAGTATTTCTAGGCACTAAAGGACTTACTGAAGTAAGTATCAATTTTGTCTTACAATTATTTAAATTATTTATTAAATTTGGGTCATGCATGGAGAATTAATTATAAATTTAGCATACCGGCTAGCCTAATCAAACAATTGCATCACGAGAATTTTGCTTAGAGTATTTTGTCTTCGGATTATCATCTGAATTTATTATTGAATGGAATGTTGCCATACAAGTATGGCTTCTCGTTATGAAAGCGAATCAACTATTCTAACAAGTTTTGTCTATTAGATAGATCCAGATGAGAATAGTTTAAACGTAACACCTGCCACAACACCCGCTGTAGCAGGATCAAAACTTTCAAGACGTGAACGTAACAATGCAAAGGGTCGACAAAAGGATATAGAATTTGCGACTGAAATAGGGCAAGGCTTGTTGATAGAAGTCAGACGTTTACAGGCTTTACTCCAAGAAAAAGATGAGCGAATAAAAGAACTTGAGATTGACAAATCCGAGTTAGAACGTACTATTGAACAACTTAACAAAACAATAAGAACAAATAAAGAATCTGAAGGTACAATAATTCAATATCTGAAAAACATTTATATATCAAAAAAATTTCTTGTTTAATATAATTACTTTTATTAGAACGGTTAAATGAACAAATTTGGACACTTGAACTTACAAGACAGGAGCTTAGTAATCAAATAGAGGAACTTCAGCAACAACTTGTCAGAGCTCGTATTGACTATACAAAAATCGAAAAGGCTCTTTCAACTGCAACTGATGTTATCGAACAACTTAAAGATAAAGAAGAGAAATTGACAATAAATGTTGAGAATTTGAGGGCTCGTCATGAACAAGACATGGCAAATAATCGTAGACATATCGCTGCACTTAACCGAGAGAAAACTGATCTCTCAAAAACCATTGAAGATTTAGAATCTCAATTGGAATGTTTAGTAAACGCTTCCAGAATTAAGAAAAAGCCAGGTGTCGCTTCAAATGATTTATATTATGACGAAAATGGACAAGTTATCAACGATTTAAACGGAACGCATCCGGGGATTCCTATAGCATTACAGAACAAGAATTTGAATGTTGAAGTTGAAACCTTGAAAGCACTTAATGCTGCAAATCGTATGATTGGTAATCTTCGTGCTAATCTTCAAAAAGAAAAGAGTGAAAAATATGAATTAAGGAAACTTTTGGCCGATAGTCAAGAACAAATAGAAGCAATACGTAATGCGGAATTTGATGTCCCCGTTCCTAACAAACGAAGAATTCAACAAAATCAATCGAACATGGGGCTCTCTAATATTATTGAAAATACAGAACTTTCTAGGGACGATGAATTTGGTGAAGACTATCAACATAGAGATGGTTACTCTAGCGAAGAATATACAATTTATAGCGAAGAAGATATCATAAATAAAAGTACTCGTCCATCATCGGATTGGTTCAACACTCGTAGATCAAACACCTTATCTAGAAGTTCTAGAACTAGTCGAATCTCTAGTCAAGCATCTTCTTTATTCCAGAAGCGATCTAGAGCTGATGAAAGTATCTCTGATGTCGAAGAAGAAGAAAACGAAGACATGATTGAAACGAAAATATCTGAAGCTCCTAAGATCGACAAAGATATTTCTTGTAAAGATGAAGAAGATACAGTTAAGGCACAAAGAGCTGAAGCGCTTCGGAAATTGGACGAAAACAGTTCGACTAGGTCTCGAATTTCTGTTAATATTAATAAACCTGAAACTCTTGAAGATATCTTCGGTAATTATCGCAGAGAGTCGATTGCTCAAAGAAATGAAGACGAAGATGCCAGCACGAATAGAGATAGTAAAGTTGAAAGCGTTGTTCATAGAAGCGATATAGAAAATTCAACATATGAAAATACAGAATATAGTGATGAACCTAAAACACCAAAAGATGAAAAAATAGACACATATACTTCTGAGCAAGGTGAAATAATTTTGAATATAGAAAGAGATGATGATGATGATGCTTCATCAGCTGATTCATTTGCTTCAGCAAACGAAACAAACGTTGATTCCAAAAGAGAATCATCGTCATCCAAAAGGGATTCCAAGAGAGGATCCGATATATCCAAAAGGGACTCCAAGAGAGGATCAGACTTATTTAAAAGTGATTTCAAACGTGTTTCAAGACACGATGTTTCTGTATCGACCTCTGGAGAGCCTATTGCACCTATCAAGACATTTAAGGATGCTGAAGTACAAACAGAGCCAACAGAACCATCAGAACCGGAATTGCAACGAAATTATTCTATTTCCAGCAAATTTACGTTTGGAAATAGAGAGACAATGGTTTTTGAAAATGTTATACATAACCCAAATGAAGACAGTACTTCCACGCACCAGTCAGCTTTATATATACCTGACAACAATAACATTGATAAAAGATTTACTCTTGACCTGAGTTCATCATTGAATAACCAAAGAGATAATAAACCTTCTGCTGACACCAATAAAAATGTTGAAGTGATCGATTCTCGGATTAACTCAGATGATCGACCTCATAGCGCCTTGCAAAGTTCGTATAAACATCAAGTCAATAGTTTAGATCCTCCTCCACGCCCTACGTCTGAACCACTACAAGCACCAATAACACATATGCAACGTCCTACATACGTAGATTTTGGTCAACAGGCCGGAACACCAAAAGTTCCTCATCCTCTTAACGCTCAGGGACATAGAGGTTCGACTGATTCAACTAATCTTGCCAGAGGTGTTAATGATAACAGCATAAAAGATACAAACTCTGTAACAACTCGTCATCGTCATACAACTAGTTCAGATTCAATCTCATCTGTAAGCAGTAATTCGTCTTCAATTGAACCAGTTAGCCACCAATCAGACTCATCTTATGTAGAACCCAGTGGACCAATGCCCGGACGATCTGGAACTGATCCACGCATTATTCAAGCAATAACTCAAACAATGATTGGTGAATACTTATGGAAATATACGCGACGTAATTTTGGAACTGGTATTTCAGAAAAGAGGCACAAACGATTCTTTTGGGTTCATCCTTATACAAAGACCTTGTATTGGAGTAATAAAGATCCTGGTACTTATGAACCCGTTGATCCAAAGTCAAAGAGCGGAATGTCTTATTTTGGTATGTGCAATATACAATGGTCTAATTTACTATCATACAAACGGTTGTTAAAATGAACAATACTATTATTTCATTGAATAATACGTGTTATAGCATATATTGAATCTGTTAAACAAGTTGTTGATAATAATCCATCACCCTCCGGTTTGCATCATATGAGTCTGGTCATTAAGACTCCAGAACGAGAATTAAAATTTACAGCTCCAACTAAGGAACGACACGAATATTGGTACCAGGTTTGTTCAATTTAATTTTATGGTGAAGATATTACAATTTTATTATTATATAATATTTTAATAACGATATTAATATTGTTTTACATTTTTATTATAGGCCCTAACTTATTTGCTTCTACGACCCGACGAAACTGGCCAAATTCCTGGACGACCTGGAAAAATCGCGTCAGATCCCTGGGAAAATCAAAATATTCGTGACTTGCACAATACATCACCAAATGGTTCATTAAGAGGAAATAATCTCCGAGAGATTAAGAAAAAATCAAGTTTTAGCAAGCTTCAATCAATGTTTAGACGTCAGGATACTTTGTCACCTCCTTCACCTCTTTCATCCGAATTTACTGATGGGCAACCTGCGGTACAGGGACATTCACACAATGACTTGGATCATAATGAATTTGATAATGTGCGGCAATGTTGTGACGGCCAACATGATATTAGCAGACTTGAACGTGCCCATAATCACAGAGGGCATCATTACAATAATGCACATTTTTGATATCATTGAAACAACATAAGTGCATTAATTTGTTTTTTTTATTTTCTTTTTATATTATATATTATATTTTTTTTTTATACATGAATTTTTTTGAAACTTTATAAACAGGTTTTTTTCTTTAGAGGGCAAATAGTTCTATATAGTATTATTGTTACCATTAGTTTGTATACCGTACTGTATTATAAGACTGTTACAAAAAAATAGATAATTTTTTCATTTACTATTATATATACACAATAGCAAATATAGTTCTTAATCGGAATAATAGCTGAAAAAAAAAAATCAAACAATTGTGTAATATATAATTGGTAATACATTACGTGAATATTGAATATTTATTTTTTTGTATTTTATTTTAAATAATTCAGTAGTGTATTTGTAAACATTATAATAAGCATTTAACTGGAAAGCTGTGTAAATTTGTTGTTTTATATAATTATCTATTACGGAACTGTCTTCTCATGTTTAATAATAGGCATAGAGCACGCAAAATTGGATCATCAGATTGGAGAGATTGGAATCGACAAATAAATTACCAAGCATTGAATCATTATATCAGACAAATTAGATACATTATACAATCGATATTGTTTAATTGCATGCCATCCGTCAGAGACTTTTTTATGCATATAGACAGTATATGCATTTAAGTTATAAGAACCATTTTCGTGTTAATAACTAAGAATCAAATTTTTTTTATGCATTTAGAGTACATACAATCAAACAGTATGCAATTAGCTGTATTTTAAAACATATGAGATCTTTGCTAGGAAAATGACCCTCCGAGGCTATGTTGATTTTGTGAATAAAAATCAACTTTGCCAACAATCTACGTAGTTATTCGATTTGAATGAACTTTTTTTATTTTATAAGCTCTACAAAATAAAAAAAGATCATTCAAATTGGATGACTAGGCAGCCGACAAATTTAATTTCTATTCACAAAATCAACATAGCATCGGAAGGTCATTTCCTCGCAAAGACCCCATATAGAGAGTATTCTTATGTCCGGGTATCTGGACCTTCGATCAAAATTTAGATAATTAGATATTACAGACGTCTTTTATTTACTCTGAAAATTTTTACTTAGAGGCCGAAAATAGGTTATCACACGTAATAAAATTTTGCGTTAGCTACGGTTTGTTAGTTTGTTAGCGAAGATCTTCATTATTTTATTTGTTCGCATTTGCAGAATAGACAGACTTTCTCATGATTGGTCAATTTTATACAATTTAATTTAATTTATACAGTTTAGGCCATACAAACTTAATAAATCGGTTCTCGTAACCCGGCCGGTCAAATTTTAAAAAATTTCAAAAAAAAATTTAAGTATATTTACTATCCGGGTGGGTTTTTCTAAAAAATTTATAACAAATTCTATGTTTTTTATATATATAATTTTTTGAAAATAAAATTAAAAGCCGGGTTGCCGGGTTACTTTCAAAAATTTTATGTTATGAGAACCGATTTATTAAGTTTGTATGGCCTTATAGTATTTTCATTTCCTAATAGAGTAAAAAATTTTTTTAATAAAAAAAAAATATAACTAATATATGTTTATAATATTACAAAAAAATTTTTTAATTTAAAATGATCTCTTAAGGTCTTGGCATTAGGGTTTTTCAAATTCAACCCAAATCAAATATTAGATCAATTTGAATTTATTAAATCAAATCAACTCTTATTTGAATTTAATTTGATTTAAAATTTGGATTTGAATTTGGTTTAAATTTTATTTTTTAATATTGATTATTAAAGAAAAATTTTAATTATAAAAAAATTTACTAAGCTAATTAATTTTGAGCTCTTAGATAAAAATGTTTTTCTAATTATAATATCTCTAATTTCATAAAATAAAAAGTTAATTATCTTAATAAAATTTCAAATAAATGATTTCTAAATATAAATATTTAATAGTAATTTTTAAATCAAATCAAATATTTATTAAATAAATCAAATTTAATTATATTTGAATTTAAAGGTAGGGTGAATGTAGATCATTTTTTATATAAGGATATCGACCAAAAAAATTTTACCCAAAAATTGAACATACGTTACATATAAAAGTTTTTAAAAATCCGATTTTTTTGTGTAAAATTTTTACAGTATATACATTAAACTCATCTAATTATAATAATAGAATTTGAACCTTTGTTA